AATAGCTCCAAATCGTCAAAGATAACTACAAAAAATATAAAGTTAGTGAAAAGAAAAAACTATGCTAAATTAAAAAAAAAAGATCCAAAGTACCAACTAAAAGCATAAGCGAAAAAAAAAAAAATTTTTGTATAAAAATAAAAACAATAAAATTTCTATATACAGCGCCAATTGTCACATTGTCACTCATACAGCTCATGCGACTCATGCGACTTATACGATTTATCTGACGCACAAATTCGAGATGGTTAAATTTTATCATATAATTTTCTTGCCTTTTGATTGGGTAAAAGGCCGGAGATATATAAGTTATATATCTCTAGCTAGAAATGCCTAGAATTTCCCATATACTATACTTGAAAAAAATTTTAAAAATTTTTTACAAATATATAAAATTTATTTTATTAAAAATTTTTGCAATTAGTTAAAAGTAAAGTGTACATAAAATATTTTTCATATGATCTCAATGGTACATTTTTTATTTTTAATTGGTGATTTGCCAGTCAGCCAGTGAAATTAAGGTTTTGCGAATGTGGGCTGAATCATTCTAAAACTTTTTTTCGTACTAAGTTAACCACCTTTGGGCTTCTAATTAAAGTTGTAGAGCTCATTGAGAGGATTCTAATAGTGGTTGAATCGTCAAAATCGGCCTTGTGAATCACAAGATATCTTTGAAAAACATTTCACTGACTATGTAAAATTCTCTCTTTCAACAATAGTAATGCCAAGAGAATTTTACATAGTCAGCGAAACATTTTTTAAAGATATCTTGTGATCTACAAAGCCGATTTTTAACAATTTAACCACTATTAGATTCCTCTCAACAAGCTCTACAACTTCAATTAGAAGCCCAAAGGTGGTTAACTTAATACGAAAAAAAGTTTTAGAATGATGCCGCCCACATTCACAAAACTCTAATTTCTATAAGTAAACCACATCACATTACACTATAACCTCTTACTGGCTGACTGGCAAATCACCAATTAATATTTTAAAAATATTTATTAAGTTAACTACTTTTAATTTATAGATAAATATTGTAAAATAGATTTTCTGATTCTAACAGTAGTAAAATTATTCAAACGATTAAATATTTAATGAGAAATATATATTTAAAGATTTTTGACATATGATATCAACTAATCAAAATCACTAATTTTTGTATAACTCCAGAAATTTTAAACAATCCCTATAAAATATAAGTTATATATAAGCATGTTATTTTTAAATATTATATCTATTAAAATTTATATCATTGTAAAAAGCATACTTTAATCTATATTTTATGAAATTTTAATAAAAATTGAATCTAATTATAAAGTTTTATTAGTAGTGGTGTATTTTAGTATCCTGAAAATTCTTTATACATGGGTACAATTAGGATTAAGATCCATATATATGGCATTATTCAGATTTGCATAATGATAAGTTAATTAAAAGTTTAATTTAATGATAGTCTAATATATATAACCTAAGTAATAATAATAATCTTGTACTATATATAGCAATCTTGATAATAATAAAGTGGTTAATATAAGTTTTACTTTGGAATATATTCTAATTAATATACTGTGTGGTTATTGTAGTCATTAAGTTGATGAAGCAAAAGGGTGGTAGTATCTAGAATATTATTTCAGCCTTTGTGGACAGCTAAGCAAGAGAAATTCTAAGTAAAAAAAGAAGACTTCTATATACCACAATTCTATGTGACAGAAGAACCTGAGTAGACAAAGGTTCTACTCACTGAATTTAGTTAAAATCAGACTTGTACTGTGTGAAAAAAGTTTTAGCCAGTGAAACTTACCTGATTAGTAAATTAAACATGTCTGGTATCAAAAGTTGAGTTTAAAGTCAACATGATCAAGTGAATTGTATACAAGACAAGAAAAAGACTTGTTAATGAAGAGTAAAGTGAATAAGGACAATAAAAGACAAGCTGCAATATGTATTTGAGTAGAAAATGAAAGAGGATAGAAGGCAAAAATTGTTTGGTGATACTAATTAAAAGTATAATTAGATTAGTTATTGAAGTGGTGAAGAATTTGAAGAAATGAAAGATATTTGGCTTGTTTATATCTATCTCCAGAAAATCGAAATTGTGATCAATATTTGAATAACAGGTGAATTGATATACTCATAATGAATAGTAGTGAAAAAGAAAAGCTTAAGTATCAAGAACATGGTGTAAAGATATTTAAGAATGAAAAGAGACAGATTAACAAGAGAAGTAAACAAAAAAAAAGGAACAATATGCACCTGAATAATGAGGTCAATGGTATGAGAGTTCTTTGGCTCATGAATATAGAGAAAGCAGATATCAAGAATAAAAAAAAACCTTAGAATATTAGTAAAATTTAGCAGATATGGAATATGCTGATTGAGTATATAATATTGAACATTATTATCAAAACAAAATTGAGGGTGAACAGAAAAATGATAATTTGAGTAAATACTACTGCAGAAATAGATTTGAAGTTGAAAAAGATAAAAATAAAACATTCAGTTATTATCAGAGATCAGCAGGACTAAGTAATACTGATGGAATATATATAAGTGGTTGTTGTTATAAAAATAGAAATAAAATCGAAAAAGATGAACCCAAGATCTTCATCTATTATCAGAAATCTGCTAAAATGGATAAAGTTAAAAAGGATAAGAATAAGGTATTTGACTATTATCAAAGATCCCAGATATAGAATATAGTAATAGAATATTTAATACTAGTTATATTAATTGAAATGGAATAGGCAGAGCAGTGATGAATCAAGTCGATTACTTTAATAAAAATGAAACCAATAAGGATGGCCATAAAATATTCATTCATTATCAAACTCCTGTTAATATGATTGAGGCTAGTGAAATATTTGTTAGACATTGTTACCATCATAAGAAAAGTATTGAAAAGGATGAACATGAGGCATTCATTTATTATCAAAAATCTAATGAGATAGTTCTCACTAGTTGAACATATAACTTGGAACATTATGATCGAAATAAGACTGAAGCTGAAAAAGCTACTAATGAAAATAAGTCATTTGACTATCATAAAAATCTGCTAATATGAGAAATACTGATAGAATGAATAGCATTATTTATTATAATGATAGTAAAACTAAGGTAATAAAAGATAAGCATAAAATATTTATCAACTATCAAAAATCATTTTAGATAAAATTTGTTGAAAGAACTATTAGTGATTATTATTGTCTGAGAGTTAGTGTTGAAGAGAATGAAAATAAGGTGTTCAAATAGTATTTAAAATCTACTAAAGGTAGAGATTCTAATAGACAAAATGCAATAGGATTATTATATAGTAGAGATATAAGAACTTGTAAAGATAAAAGAGAAGTATTTAAATAGTTTTTAAAATCTGCAAAATGTGAAGATTCTAAAGAACAATTTGAAGTTAGGAATTGTTATCGAAATAGTTTAGAAGTTTTCAAAAATGAAAAAACAAGTATTTGAATGGTATCTAAAATTAGCTGAAAGTAGAAATTTTAATAGGAGACTCTATATTAGATTGGTATTGATAACTTTAAGAAGAAAGAACAATTATCTACAAAACATTGAGAAAACACTTTTCATAATGTTTAAATTTTTTTATTACCTCTTTTATTAATAATTTATACATCTTTGATATCTTAATGTTCTACAATTTTTTCTTTCATTTGTACTGTGAAATTTACTTTTTGTATTTGTTAATAATATCTGAAAGTTATATGATATACTTTCTTTTTTTATTTGGTAATATCTTTATATACCTGAGACTATATATATTTTTTCTTTTTTATTAGTATTGAGAACTTGCACATTGTGTAATTTTTTTTTTTTTACTATTTTTTTTTGTTAGCAATTCATATATTCAATTCACA